GCCAGGGGCGGGACCGTCGGGGGGGGGGGGGGGAAAAAGGGCGGGCTGTACCCGGGTGGTTTTTTTTTTTTTTTTTAATGATTCCTGACTTTGGACTCACTTCGTTCCCGGCTACCGAGTTTTCTCCGAGGGGACGGGCGGGCTGGCAAAGGCCGAGGGAGGTAGACAGACTTCCGTTTCCTTCTCTAGGCAGCCCACGGCTCACCGGAGTTGTGTTTTCCTGATCCGGCTCAAGCTGCCCCTCCTCCGGGACCCTCCCCTTCTCCGGGACCCGCCCCTCCGGAACGACCGGTCGCCGGCGGCGGCTGTGGAGACCTACAGGCTAGGCGCGGTGGGTACAGCTCTGGCCCGTTTCCCGCCCTCCCAGTCCTCCGCTCTCCCTTTCCTTCCCCGCCCTCTTTCCTTCCCTCTCCTTATCTTTTCCCTCCTTTTCTCTCCCCTCCATCTCCTCCCTCCCTACGTCCCTCTCCTCCCGCCCTCTTTTCCCTCCATTTCTCTCCCCTCCCTCCCTCTTGCCCCCGCCCTCTTCTCCCTCCCTTCCCTTTCCATTCCGTCAGCCCACCCCTCCCGTCTCTCACGCCCTCGGGTCGCGCTCCCGGAGGCCGGAGGGAAAGCCCCGCCCTCCTGCGGGGGATGCTGGGCCGGAGGCGGCCCCCCCGCCCCCCGGACTGCCCCAGGAAGTGGTGGGTGTGGTGCGGTGCGGGGTGGCTGGTGGCTGGTCCAGCCTGCGGGCCTGCGGGCCTGCCTCCTCCAACCTCATGACACCGCAGGTAAATCTAGTCGGATAACTTTCCGAGCGATCTGCTCGGCCGGCCCCTTGTGATGCCTGTGGCAGATGTGGGCGCCGAGGTGTTTGTGGCCAGGGCATGTGAAACTGAGAGCACGCGCCGGAGAGCTTCCGGAGGAGGATATGAGCTACTAACTCCTGCCAACCTTTCCCGCCTCAGTCACCTCCACTGTGTATCCTCGGAAACCACGTCAGTGTGACTTTCCGTTTCACTATTTTAACTCCATAGTTGACCTATTGTGGGGTTTTTATTTTCTGAGGGAGGGGAGTGGTGTCCGCCAAAACTCAGCATCAGCTTTCTCCATCCCCAGAAAAGAAAAAAATGGTCACGGTTGGGGGGAAAACTCCGATTTTAATGATCTACTACTTTGCCTGCAAGTAGGATTACGTCACTACTGCCACATTTCTACCTTGATCGTTAATGAGTTTACCTTTGTAAAACTGGAGAGTTGCAAGTTTCTTCTCATTTTCTCCTTAATGCCTTTTTTTCTCCCCAGCCACTTCAAGAGACGGCCATTTTAGGATTATGACATTTTTAGAGTTAGAAAGGATCTTAGCCCAATCTTTTGGCAAAAACCGAGGCTTGTATTGGGTCACATGGTTTCTTGAAAGCTAAACAGAAAAGTCGATTAACAGTGGTTACTTACAGCGGACAAAAGGGGAGGCAGACTTGACTTTGCTTCTCACCCGTGCCTTAAGTGTGTATTGAATCTTAGGGTAAGTTTTGATTTTATTACCAAAAAGTGTTAAAGTCACACACTGTATATCAACGTAAGTATATGCCATTGGAGCATGTGCATAAATATATTTATACATGTTGTATATATCAGTGATTTGTACTGTGAAATCCAGTCTGGCTTATGTTATCTGACAGGACAGGCTTCATTATTTGGGTATTCATACTTTTCCTCTATGGCTCTCTCTTCATTAGTGAGGTGGTAAAAGTGCTAGTAGGCTACAGTTTTAGACGGTGTGCCAAGCTTCTTGATTATTGAATAGTGTAGCAGACTATAACAGTCAAGATATCCAATTTGACATTCAGATAAAGGAAATCTTAATTATAGACTTTCTGGATAAAAATTATTTTTTTAAAATATTTTTCTAATTTTATGTGGATGAATGTATTGCTTGCAAGTGTGTAAGTGCACCAGTGTTGTGCAGTGCTGGAGGAGATCAGGAGACAGCGTTGAATCCTCTGGAACTGGAGTTAAGGATGATTGTTAGCTGCCATGTGGGTTCTGGGAACCGATCTCAGGTCCTCTGCAAGAGCAGCTAGTGCTCTTAACCACTGAACCATCTCTTCATCACCAAAATTATTTTTTGAAAAGGTTGCCAGGCATGGTGACGCATGCCTTTAAATCCTAGCACTTGGGAGGCATAGGTAGGTGGATCTCTGTGAGGCCAGTCTGGTGAATACCCCCCCCCCAAAAAAGAAAAAAGAGAAGGTTAAGGAGTGAATTGGGGATGTTGCTCAGTGGTTCAGTTCTTGCCTAACATGTGCAAGACCCTGCATTTTTTTTTTAGCATGGCAAAACAGGTGATCAAAGTACATTATATACATGTATGAAAAATCATAATAAACCCATTATTTTTAGAAATACTTTTATTTTGTGTATCAGTGTTTTCTCTGCATGTATGTGAGTGCACCTGTGTTGTGCAATGCCCACGGAGGCCAGAAGTGGGCATTGGATTCTTGTGGAACTGGTGTTACAGGCCGGTTGTTAGCTGCCATTTGGGTCTGGGAATCAAACCTGGGTCCTCTGCAAGAGCAGCCAGTACTCTTAACTGCTGAGTCGTCTCTCCAGTGCCCAAAATCCATTATTTTGTGCACTGACTATACACCATTGGAGAAAAAGGGGGAAAAAAATAAGCCAAGCATGGTGACTTTCACCTGTAATTCCAGCACTCTGGAGGCAAGGAAAGAGAATTTTAAAAGTCCAGCCTAGGCTACATAGTGGGACCTTGTATCAAAAACAGCAAAGTCAGGATTCATACCTGTTATCTCTGCATTTGGTAGGTGGAAGAGGATTATAGTTCAAAGCCAGCCTGGGCTACATCAGACCCTTTACAGAGTACCACAATCAACCAGTAAACATTTTATATTGTATAACATTGTTTGGTATACAGAGGTAAACTGTGCTTTTTGTGCCGTCTTCATTTATTTTCTTGGTGTTATACAGGTCTAAAAATAGTAAGATTTTGGTTCGTAAAAACTTGAAGGAGTTGGAGGATTTATTTCAGGGGCAGAATGTTTGCTTAGCATGCACAAGGCCCTGTATTCAATCCCTAGTACTAGGGAGTAGGGGAAGTAAGACTGAACTGGTGCTGAACTCAGTTCTCTAGATAGACTAATGAGGACCCAAGGGTGAGAAAACTAATTGCTCAAAGTTATGTAGTTGATAATTAGCAGACCTTGCTCTGTGGTCTACATTCTAGTTTTGAACCCTTACACTATACCTGTAACTTTATTGCTTTCTCGTGCACTCAATGAGGTCATCTAAGCTAGCAAAGTAATGCTGACTAAACGTTAGCCACACATTTCAGTGGGCAAGCACTATGGTAATTTAATGTGCCAGTTAATTTTGTGTAGCACTTATAGTAGTAACATGTGTTCACCTTAGATTTTATTGTATGTGTTAATTTGTTTAGGGTATCCTCTATATTTAATGCTTGGAGACACCAAATGTAACAATGAGATTTTGCTGTTTTTGACTAACGCTAATAGTTAAATCTAATAGCAAGTGCTGGGGGGCGGGGAGGCCATGATTTGGAAAATAAAAATTTATTGTGTGCCTCCTTTGTGCCAGGCATGGGACTTGGGGGGGTTCTTTTTTAAGACAGAGTTTCCCTGTAGCCCCAGATATCCTGGAACTCACTACGTACACCAGGCTGGCATTGATCACACGGAGATCTGCCTGCCTCTGCCACCCAAATGCTGGATTATAGGCATGCACAACCACACCCGGCCCAGACTTGGGACTTTGTGGCAGGGTTCCAAAGATGAATAAGTGCCACTTATCGTGATACACACTTGTAATCCTACTACTTGAGAAGCTGAGATAGGAGGATCAAAAAGTCCAGGACAGCGTGGGCTACATATCAAGACCCCTATCTCAAAAAACCGAGATGAATAGGGTAAAATAGATGCCCTTGTGATTTTGAGTCTGGAAGGTTATGATAACTCTCAATTCTTAAATTTATCTCTCTGGGATAATCTGTTAATAGTATTATATAATTTGTTAACACTGTTTAAGGTCATTGTTTATGTAGATTTGAGGAAACAAACAGTGATAAATGAGAAACTAATACTGAATTTAGCAGATAATCATGTGCTATAGAAAGCATCCTGAATTAGATGCCCTGGGACTTGGGGTTTTGTATTGAGTATATTTCTAGTTAGCTGTGGGATTGTGACACTTCATGTTTATTTTCTTTGTTACAAAAACATGTTTAGTTTGTTGAATTCAAAACATATAAAAGGGTATTTTGAATATTTTAAGCAAAAAAGCCATGTTATAGAAAAGTTACAAAATTTGGGATAGGATTAAAAAAAACTAGGGTTATGTTATATCTATATTATTTTAATCCTTTTTTCCCATTTGTCGTTTTGTTGTCGGCAATTCCTGTTTTGTAAAGCCTTTCAAAATGTAATTTTTATTATCTCATATTTTATTTTATTTTGTTCCTTTTTGAGGCAAGGTCTTGCTATGTAGTCCAGGCTGGCTTCCAGTGTGGTTTCAGTCCTTCCTCAGCATCCTCAGTACTGGGAATACAGGTGTGAGCCACCGCATTTAGCCTCAGATTTTATTTTTACACTTAATCGTAACCAAAAACGCTGAGAAGGGATAGATTTTATTTCTTTTTGGAGACAGGGTCTCATTATGTAGCCCTAGCTGTCCTGCACCTTGATGTGTAAACCAGGCTGGCCTTGGTAGATTTTTTTATATACACAATATAATATAGATATGCTATATAAGTATGTATGTTTTTTAAGACAGTCTCCCTATAGCCCCAGCTGGCCTGGAACTCACTTTATAGACCAGGCAGACCTCCATCTCACAGGGGTCCACGTGCCTTTGCCTCTCCAGTGCTGGGGATAGATTCTATTTTTATTTTATTATTATTATTTTTGTCTTTTTGAGACAGGATCTCCCTGTAGCCCCAGCTGACCTGGAACTCACTCTGTAAACCAGGCTGGCCTTGAATTCACAGAGGTCCCCCTACCTCTGCCTCCCAAGTGCTGGGATCAAAGGTGTGGGCCACCAGGCTCAGCCTAGATTTTATTTTTTAAAGTGCCTTATACAAGCTATATGTTGTTGCATATTCCTATATTCCCAGCTATTCTGGGGGCTTAAGCAGAAGGATCTTTGAACCCAGGATATTAAGGCTAGCATGGCATAATAAAGACGCTGCAGACACACACAAAAAAATGTCTTGTGAAAATTTTTTTTGGTCCTATTTGTTTGGCTTTATTTGTTTTGAGATAGGGTCTCCCTGTAGCCCCAGCTGGCCTGAAACTTGCTTTGTAGACCAGGCTGGCCTCA